TTCCGCACATTTTTCCCTTTCATAATATCTACAACCATTATCTTAACATTTTCTAGGCTACGTATGCAAACAAGTTTTGCGGTGCTATGGTGCATGTGAAAATTGTCGTGCAGCGTTAATACAAGATCCCAACAATCACAGTTCGCTTTCTAAATTAGTCGACCTTAAATCAAATGGAAGGCTGATTCATCCTAACACAACTTTTTTTCAATTAATACGTTTTATCGAGAATTGTTTTTCTAAGCATGCTACAAGCAAACATGTCTTTGATGAAACAATAGATGAAGTTTTGGACTCATATCCTTTTTTATTCCCGTGCAAGACGCATGCCTCACATCTCCTGTCATATACACTCCAATATTATGTTCGAATGAGAATGAGACAGTTTACATTTCAAGAGAATGAGAAGAAAAAAAAAGAATTTGTGCAGAAAAAAAAATTATCAAAACTTACAAATCAATGAATAGTAGTCATCGCAAAGACATAATGGCACCCTTTTTGAACGTAATTTTTTACAAGCGATAGCTTGATGAGCATATAAACGTACCTTTTAGGATACAGCAAATTTTGAAATATTGAATTTTTCCTTTCAGTTGCTGATAAGTCTCATTTTGTCACATCAAATGGATTCAGAACGCCAGTACGTCTCCTCATTGCTATCAAGAACAATATCTTGTACAGCATATTGCATCCAGTCAAACGGATCCACAAGTAGCACAAAGATTAGCGAATGCATTCACCGAGCTAACGACGGATATAGACTTTTAGTATGGACTTGAATAACCGTCCTTAAAGATTGAAGTTTAAAAGTAATTTCGATAAATTTGTCGTGAACGTACAAGGATTCTTAACGGTTAAGTAAAATAGAAATTAAAATGTAAATAAAAGAAAAGAATTATTTAAACAATACACGCGTGGATTTAATGCTTAACGCTTGGAATTTTTTAACGAATTTAGTTAACGACATATTTGTAGAAAAATTTAATTAGTTCAGTTCCTTGCTTTAATCATATTAATCATACGGTGTACAATGAGCGTTTTTAGCATATAGATGTATTTTATTTTATTTATAGATGTTATTGCAAAAAGAGGACTTAAGCATATAAGCTTTTTATTTTCTTTTCGTAAAATAATTGTAAAAAAAACAATAATCAAAATCAAACTAAAAACGGTAAGACTGCAAGACGGATCTCTTGCTACCACTCATCCACATTTAAACTCATTTAAAACGTTGATTGAGCCAATTTATTTAAAAAACTCGCTGTTTTTTGCATATTTTCTATCTTACATTTATTATAAAAATATTGTATTAGTTAAGGCCTCCGTAATGAAAAATATAAGGAACAAGGAACAAATATTAGCGATTAATATTATTCCTGATTTTTTATTTTTAATCGCTAATATCTGTTCCTTGTTCCTTATATTTTTCATTGTGCGGGAGCCTTTACGGTGAAACGGATTAGTGGACAACGCGTATGCGTGATAAAAAATCCTTGCAACGCTGCGACGCGCGCGGTCACATGGCAAAGCTATGAAAATATCGTCATTAAGCGAGTCACCCCCACCACCAAAAAAACGGACGAGTTTCCGGACCTGTATTCACGACCGTGGGTGCGTGTGCTTTTGGGGAAAGTGGGCAACCTACCGCTTCACCGGCTTCACTCTCTATAACGCTCTCGAAAGACTCTGACGTTCCTTTCGCTCTCTGAATAAAGGCACGAGTTATACTTATACTTATCGCTCTATCTATCTACCTACCGTTTCTCATCACTATCCTGCCTGTATCATCGGCTAATATTAACAACAAGTTATGGGCCCAGACCCTGACGACGCATTCAGGAGGCTATAGAGAAGTGAGAGAAAAGGGTGAGAGGTAGTGAAAGCCAAAACTGCGAGTGAAGACTGTGTAAGCTGCTAAACGTGACGCTGGTGCTGAAATATGGCTGAGACCAAGTTGAATCACATTCATCGCTTCAATGGACAGAATTTTCAACTCTGGAAACGTCAAATGGAGATATACATGCTGGAGAACAATCTCCGAAAGTATATTGATGGATCGACGCCGCGCCCGACAGCCACCACGGACATTGCCGCATGGGAACAGAAGGATGCAGAGGCGCAGGCCTTCCTCATGCGTGGCCTTGAGCTGGATCAACTCCGTTATCTGACGGACTGCAGTACAGCTGCTGAAATGTGGCGGCGTCTCAAAACTATCCATGCAGAGAAGAGTGACCAGTCGGTTCAGGTATTGTTAAATCAATTTATAAACGCGAAGATGGATCCGGATGAAAAGATGGCGGATTACATCGCAAAGATTGTTTCGCTCGTTCAACGTCTAAAGGACATGGATATGGAGCAAAAAGGGGCGATCGTCATTGCGAAAATTATTTCTAGTTTGTCTGAAAAATATGATAATGTTCGCACGGCATAGTATGCGGTTCCGCGTAACGATAAAAAATGAGATAAGTTAACCGATCATTTGATAATGGAAGAGTCGCTGTTAAATATGCGTAGTCGAGGTGTAAACACGAGCAACGAACAAGAAATGTATTCTGCGCGCGGTAAACGGAGCAATGTAAATAGAAAGTCGTCCGGCACGAGTTCTGCGAATTATGCGAAGCGTGGAAGTTGTCATTTCTGTAAGAAACTGGGTCATTGGGCTCGTGATTGTTTTGAAAAAAGAAAGCATTTAGAGAAAATAAAGAAAGACAAAAATTATTCTCATGTTAGTGAAAAAGTACATACAGATAAAAGCGACAATGCTGAACTGTTTAATATCGAATGTTTAACTGTAAATGAATTAAGGGGGGAATCTACTTTAGCCGGCTGAAAAATGATGATTTTTTGGGAATTTTTTTCAAGGAAACTATAAGTGATATTGGATTAATTTTTTTTGTAATATGGAAAGACATTCTTAAAAAAAAAATATTTTTTTTTCAGTTACGTTAATTTTTATTATATTGACGGACAATTTTGTAGCGCAATGTTGGTAGCGCAACGGTTAGCTGCGTACAGTGTAGCAACGAGCTGGGTAATCTGAAAGCAAAAAATAAAAATTTTTTTTAAAGCTTAATCAATTACGCAGGGATTGAACTTATTTGCAAATAAAAATATGAAAAATTGAAGAAGTTACAGCAATCGTAAGAAAAATGACATTTTTTTTATCAAAAAATCGATCTTCTGTTGTTGATAAAAATGTTATAAATAAATAATAAAATGTAAACGTAGGTTCAATCTCTGGAGAAAATTGTAAGGAATCGAATCATGCTTGGCGAAAGTTATTTGAGTGATTACTTTTTGAGTTATCTTGTACGCAAAGTTGGAAAAAGTGGAAAAATTTAAAGCTGTTTTTCCATAAGAACACATGTAAAGTTAGAAGTACAATAACTCATGAACTAGTTAAGCCCATTCTACAATAGCCGTAAAAGTGCGTTAAGACATAAGCAGTAAAAATTGACCAACTACAGTCGATCATTCTTGGATTTTAAAAATCCCATTAGTCAATAGCTTACTGCTTACGTCTTAACGCATACTTTTATGGCTATTGTAGAATGGGCTTTAGAGAATTGGCTTCAGGTTTTAACCACGTGTTCAGATAATAAATGGAAACAATGTATAAAAGTTCTACGGTATTTTCAATGTAACAGTGTTAGCGCCAGAACATCCTTAACACTATCTACATGATGATTAACATTACTTTGAACAAAAAGTTTTTATTCTATAAAAATAAATTACGAAAATAATGTTTATTTATAGGTTAGAATAATCGAATTTTCTTTTTTCGGATATTCTACAAATATATAATACTTTTTATTAATCGTAACTTTAATTTAATATTTGTAATTTTGCTAAAATTTAATAACGTACTGTTTTTTAACGTTTCTCATTTTACAATATTGCTTTACCTGATAATACGTACCGTCGATTTATAAATGTATTACGTACGCCTTGCCTAGCCAACTCAAGCTAACTCTACTCGACTTATCGGAAGCGTTGTAAGTTGTCATGATTCACGAAAATAATAGATGGTTGTACCTATCATATTTTTTGGCCCTAGTGGAACTAACTCGTACTCGAATTATCGTAAACACCCACTGACAAAACTTAAGCCCTCTCTCCCTCTCTCTCTTCCTACCCCCTTCTTCATCCACTCCTGCAACTGCTTTTCCTCTTCCATTTCCCTGTGCTCTCCTCACACTCTCCTTCATTCCTTCCTATCTTCGTTTCAGTACATCTTCCTTCCATTAATCCACAAACGGCTACTCGTGACAACCACCGAGTTTCCTAGACTTTTCTCTTTTTGCCTTTTCTTCTATCCTCTATCTCACGTATCTTTCCTCTCTGGTCAGTTTCTCGTTTACCATTACCCCCCATCTTTTCTTCATTTCCCACCGTTTCCTAAAAAGCTTCTTTTTATCCTCCTCCTCCTCCTCCTCCACTAGCAGTAACTCCTTCTTTCCTTCTCCTTTTATCTCCACCACGCCTTTCACTCCCACCTTCCTGTCCAGCGCCATCTCGGCTATGATCTCCATAAATTCTTTCCTTTCTACTGGTCCTGCACCCTCTAATCCGCGCCATACCAGAGATCTCCTTTTCTTTGCTGCTCTCTCTCTCTTTCTGCTCTATCCTCTCTATACGCTCTCTCTCTTACGCTTCTATCCCTTTCACTTTTCACTTTCTCTTCTCTTCTCTTTACCATCTCCCAAGCATTACTCTTTACACTCTCTGCGCCTCTACCTTTCCTCTCTGCTTTTCTACCTCCTTCGCTACCTGTCTCCCCGTCTGTTCTCCGCTCCTTCTTTTTCTCCTTACTTGCCGATCCATCTTCGCTCACTTTTTCGCAACGCTCCTTTTCCTTTTCCGTTTTGACGTCCCCTCCTCTTCTTTCCATTGTCCTCTCATGCGTGTCATTGCCTTTTCCTTTGCCCTCTCTTCTGTCAGACTTCCACGATTCTTCGCTACTCTCCTCCTCCTCACTTGTCACCTCCTCCCGTCCATTTCTGCTCCGTCCTTTGTCACCCCCTCCTCTTTCTGTGCGTCTCTCTCCTTCGTGTTTCGATCTTTCTTCCACACATCTTCCTTTATGGATTTTTTCTTCTCTTTCTATCTCTTCCTCACTGGGTTTCTCCCCAACGTCTGCGACGCCATCACTTTCGTCTACTCTCCTCTTCTCTGCTTCTCCTCGTCCTCCACTTTCCTTCCTTTGTCTCCCTGGAGCCTGACTTTTCTCCATCCTCTCTAGCTGCCTCTTTATCTGCTTCATTTCTTGTCTGAGTTCCTCTCCTTCCCGTTTTACCTCTTTCAAGAGTTCTTGTCTCATTTCCCTCAGTTCATTCATAATTTCCTTCATAATTTCCTTACCCCAACCATCCTTCTCCTTCCTTTGACCTTCTCTCGACATCGTTCCTGCCATCTCTGCCTCTCCAATCTGTTGCCCTCCCCGCGCACCTGATTATTTCCACCGCTCTTTTTTGCCTCCTACCTTTGTTCTCCAAACCAGCCTCGGTCCACTCTTCTATCACTTTTCTCCTTTTTCCTCCTACAAGCAAAGATTTCTCAGATCCTGCTCTCTCTCTTTCTCTCTCGCCTTCTCCCTTAACCTCATCACATGAACAAATGTATTAGCCACCTGTCTCTCCTCCCTCCTATCTCTTGCTTCTTTCTCCTCTACTTACTTTTCTACTGCCTTTACCTCCAACTATCTCCTGCGTTTCCTGCTTCTACTTCCTTATTTCTCTCTTTCTTTTACTCGCAGTCTTCACCTTCTACCCGAAATCGTCTTTCACCTCAGATTCCGACCACGCGCTATCGCCGGGCGCACCTGTTACGGTCGACCCGCCAATCTCGATCGATTGCGCATCGACCTCCCCATTTGTCACCGCAACAATCGATCTCCCATTCGACCCGTGCGGGTGGTACCAATAACCCCGGACTGCGCCTCGACGTCCCGCAGTGGCGCCAACCCACTTTTTTGGAGGGGCCAGCCCCCCGCGTCGCCTCAGCCCCAGTCGGAGTCCTGTCGTCTCACGTCGACTTCCGCCACGTGCGCTTGCTTGCGATTCTATCGGTCGATCTCCCAATCCCGACACATCTCCATTGCACCCATTGCGATGACGCGTGTCAACTTCCCCACTCTCGCCTCCGGTGCCACATCCTTCATCGCCCAGTTTGCCACGATCCTAACCTCTCTCTCCTGCCTCTTTTTCTTGAACAAATTTTATCCGTTCTGCAGCATATACCACCTTGTCTCCATTTGCTCTTCTTCCTTTCCACCTCCCGCACGCCTGCAATTCTTCTACGTTCCCACGCCTCAATAAATCCCTTTTTCGACACATTTTTGCTCCCTTTCCACGCTCTACATGTTTCCCCGCCGAGGGCTACAGGGGACCTTAATGAGATTTTATAATAAAAGAAGATATCCAAAATCGCTATTAGAATAGGAAATAGAAATAGCATGCAGACGAGTCACCTGTATGACTCATTCGAGTGGAATCTAGTCCTCGCATAAGCCATATATGGGCATGTCGAGGCAGAGCGAGCCGCAGTACCATATAAGGTAATTAGTTCGAAGCCGTCGCCTTATGACTCACTGTAACGAGGTGTGGTCACTTCCCACTATCGTTTCCAAAATTGTATAAAAGCCCAATCTTTCACCTCTTCAACGGAGAGTGTGGAACGAGTCAGGAACATATTTTATACTCACATATCTTATACTTGTTCTATCCTCTCATATAAGAGCCAAGACACTTGTAACGTGAAGTTCTACAATAAATACCATACTTTTATATCACAAAGAAAGATAAAAATTATTGAATACCTACCTTCAACGGATCCGAGGAGCCACAATCCACATCGCCGAGGACAGTTAATTATCTTGGGGTTTTACCTCCTTAACCGCAGAAGAAGAACCCATCAACGGAGACGTTCTGCCGTTCTGCAGGATCGAGCCACCTCGCATCACCAGGACGTCACACGGGGACGTGCCTAGTGGTGTATTGGGAGGGTGCTTTTGGACCACAATATGATCACGCTTTTACTTTTATCTAATGTCGCTCTTATATTTAAAGATTATTATTTTCTGGGATTTGTGGTGGGGCAGACATAACATGCTTCGTTAACTTAATACAAAATCGATTTCAAGAAGATTAGATACAGGTGATTTGCCGGGTCCTTGTACATGCTGCACAATGTTTTCGCAGTATAGCATTTTTCTTTTCCTGCGGCTATTCAAAATGCGTTTTTAGTTCCACCCATTGATACAATATTCGCTTTACTGCTTCTTCCTACGCTAGCCATCAAGTTGCAGATAACTGTATGAGATTAAGAAGCACTTTGTTATTATCATTGATTAAGTTGAACAAATTTGCATAGTGAGCACGTCTCAACGAACTATTCGCGAACCAATTTCTCGTTTCTCGCACAAGAAACTCGAGAGATGAAGGCAATACCTCCGATGCTTTTGAACTACGTAGGTGCAGCGAATGGCAAATACGTCGTACGTTTTGAAGCTGTGGCAATGAAACTCTTTCCTTCAGAAGAGTGAATAGAGATGTTGACGTTATTGCTTTATGGAAGGAGTAGAAGGGCTAAAACTCTATATTCGTCTTTTATAATATATAGTTTGCTTATTGATCACACACTTCGATCCGTACACCTCGTTTGCCAGCAATCAACTGAACTCTACTCACACGAGACAGCGGAAAACCCGGTATATAACAGAAGAATACCGGAGGCAAGCGAGCTTACAGTAAATGGCGCAAAACTTAAATAATTGTTGCTTTTCGTATGGAATTTCAAAGGACTAAACAGATTTGTGATGTCGAGAATATGTATTTAAGTATTGAATATGCAGAATAAAAAAGGCGCTTGTAACATAATGTACAATAATGTTGATATATAAACGCTTAAAAAAAAAAAAAGAATAATATACATTCCGTATTGCACTCCTTACATCCTACATCATACCTTTTTTATTCGAAATCATATAAATGAATCCTGAACAATAACTAAATCCTGCTTTACTTTCAATTTACAGCAGCTTACAATACTTATTACAGTCGCTTACAACTCTATAATTAGCGTTCTTCTTGCACGCGGCTCGCACGGCATGCAGTAGTGTAGAAAGCATGAAATAAATGTAACTATGAGAGTGGACTAGATAGTATTCGAACTGTGATTGGTCAAAAATCTGATCACAAGTAAAACAATTACAACTCAACACTCCTCCTTAATTATTTTACTTCGTAGCTGTTCGAAAATTTTGCGAGACAGTAGTTTTGTCAGTATATCAGCAAGTTGATCGGAACTTTTGACATGTTTTAGTTCTACTGTCTTTCCAATATGTTCCTGAATGAATTTTCTCGGAATATCGATATGTTTCTTGCCTTTCGTTATTTTTCCTTCATGTGTATTTTGTAACATGTGGATAGCAGATTTATTGTCAACACATAATGTTGTTGGTTTATCTAGACTTAGAAATGCAAGTTCACTTCCGATACGTCGTATCCAGCAAATGTCATCAATTGATGATACGGCAGCTCGATATTCAGCTTCAGCAGTTGATGTAACTACAAGACGTTGTTTTCGAGCATACCAGATAACAGGCCCGCCTCGAATTATAAGAACTCCACTAGTTGAGTGTCCTGTGAGTGTATCTCCTCCATAGTCGGAATCTGTATATGCAATGAGTTTAGTATCCCCATTGAAAAATATTCCATAGTGAACAGTCTTCTTTAGATATTGAAAAATCCGTTTAACCATCTTCCAGTGACTTATCATCGGTTTACTACAAAATCGACTCAGATAGTTTACGGCAAAACTGATGTCAGGTCGAGATATAGTGGCTAGATATAATAGACTTCCTACGGCTTCACGATAGGGTTCAGACTTTTCAAGCGGTTTGTCATTTACACGATTTTTTTCAGCTGTCACCATTCCAGGTTTCATTGGGGTGGATGCGGGATTTAACAAATCGAATTTGAAACGCTGAAGGATTTTCTCCGTGTATTTTGGCTGACTAACAAAAATTCCATTTGGACTATTCTGTATTTGCATGCTGAGATATGATAGTTTACCATTTCGTGCAATGTCAAAAGTGATTTCAAACTTTTGCTTTAGTTTATTTAAGACTTCAATCATGTCATCCTCGTCTGTAGCAGCAACAAGTCCATCATCGACGAATACGACGAGTATTATGCTTCTGTTTTCTATTGTAGTAAACACAGGGATCATCTGTGTTATCAAATCCAAGTGATTTCAGAAACTCGGAAAATTCATCGTTCCAATTTTTGGGAGCTTGCTTCAGGCCATAAAGACTTTTCTTTAGCTTACAGATACGACCAGTACCATCATTAAAGCCTTCCGGTTGATGCATAAAAATCTCTTCTTTCAGATTTCCATATAGGAATGCCGTCTTGATGTCAAAAGTCATCAATTTCATCTTGTCAGAGGCTGCAAGACTGAAGATCAATCGAATAGACACATGATGAGCAACAGGGTTAAAAGTTTCGGAATAGTCTATTCCCTCTTTCTGTTCGAAACCTCTGGCGACAAGTCTGGCTTTAAAACGACCGTCCTGTTTTCGTCGTAAGATCCAGCGACAGGTTAAAAGTTGCACCTGCTTTGAGTGTTTTACTAAGTCCCATGTTTTTATTTTGATCAGAGAGCTGAGTTCTTCAGACATAGCTTTACGCCAGTTTTCATCTTTTAGGGCATCTGAGACAGAAATATCCTCCACTTCTCCTATCATTGCTACATTTGCACTGTTTCCTCCACGAAAGTAACCCAAAATATAATCACCGAATTTGGCAGGCGGTTTCAAGTTTCGACGATCACGTAAATTTGAATACAGGCTGATTTCGATTTGATGAGTCAGAGGAAACATCAGAGTCATCAGAGATACTTTGATCAGTGTTGTCAGGCGGTTGATCATCGTTTGAACCATCAGAAAATAAGTCTTCAGATTCAGAAGTTTCAGACTCTCCTCCTGAACTCTTACTTTGATTTTGTGCTAAGGAAAGTTCAATTTCAGTGTGTTTTTTTTCAGCTTTTTCATTAAAAATTACATTATCAGAACAGGCAATGTCTTTTTCTTCGGGTAGGTAGACTCTATAGCAGGGCGAGTCCAAGTCATAACCGACAAAAAATCCCTTTTTTGACTTCTTCTCAGTCTTAGCTCGTTTGTGATCTTGAATTAAGATGTAGCATTCACATCCAAAGCTTCTTAATTTCTTGATATCCAATCTTCGTCCAAACCACAATTCAGCCGGGCTTTTACCTTTTACTGAACTTGTTCCAGTTTGATTTAGGGTGAAAACTGCATAATATGGCTTCGGCCCACAAGTTTTCATTCATGTCTTGAGCATGTATAGCAGATCGAGCTGATACAACAACTGTACGCATTTCCCTCTCAATTCGTCCGTTTTGTTGAAGTGTGTAAACATTTGATCGGGTATGAAAAATTCCAAGTTCATCCAAAAGTTTTTTTGTATCTGCATTCTTGATTTCAGTGCCATTGTCAGATCTTAGACACTTGATCTTCCTGTCGAATTTATTTTCCACCATCTTCATGAAGACGTCGAGTTTAGAAACGGCTTCATCCTTTGTTTTCAAGAAATAGACTGTTTAATAGTGCGAGAAATCATCCTTGAACAAGAGAAAATATTTGGCTCCTCCTAGAGACTTAATATTCATTTCACACAGATCAACGTGAATCAGATCTAAGGAATTTTCGGCAACTTTCGGATTTTTAGGATGAGAAATACGATGCTGTTTTCCATAAACACATCCTATACAAACGTAGTCATTCCAGTCGTCGACATACTTGATACCATGTTTATTCAGAATATCTCTAACATACTTAACGTTTTGGTGAGCGAGTCTTTCGTGCCAAGTTTTAATAGAGGCTGTCAATAAACACTTGTCAGGCTTTTCTCGACGAAACATCATTTTATATAAGTTTCCGTCTCGTTTAGCAACTGCTACAGTTTTTTTTCTATCCAAGGATTTAAAGATTGATTTATTTGCATTTGCAGTTTGTATATAACCTTTATCTAGCATTTGAGTGACAGAAAAAAGATTGAACGTCATCTTTAATACATACAGAACATTTTTCAAGACAATTTGATACCATTCTTTTCCATTGAAAGCTTCTAGTTCTACGTCACCAATTCCAATTCCCTTCAGTTCAGTGGCATCACCGATCATAACCATCGTAGGCTCTTCGAATTCAGCAAAATTAATTAACCAATCCTTACGTGAAGTCATATGCTGTGTGGCAGCACAGTCCTGATACCACGAATCATTGCAATCACACTTCGATTTTATGTGATTTAGATTTGCAGTCGACAAACCTACAGTGATGAATGCGCGACGATTTGATTTTTTGGAGTCATTCTTCTCAGATTCGTCATTCTTCTGGTTGTTGTCCTCACTAGAGTTTCCTTTTGGGCAATTTTTAGCAAAATGACCTTTTTGGTTGCATGTATTGCAAGCATAGTTACTTTTACAATAAGCTAAGTACTTGGCGCATGGTTTACCTTTGCAATGTCTCTTTACGTGCCCCTTTTTACCACATTTAAAACATTTAATAGACGAATTACCAGACAAATTTCCTCCTGTGTGTGACTTTCCGGATTTATTTACTTGTTTAGAGATAAGAGCGTTTTGAGATTCACTTGACTGCTTGCCCTCATTTAGTCTATCTTCTTCTAATCGCAGACGTTCAAACAGTTTGCTTATATTCTTGTCCTCACCGCTGACATTGTCCCAGGCAGTGCGAAAATGATGAAGCTTCGTTGGTAACATTCCCAATATTCTAGTCATGATTCAGCTTTTTTTGACCTCCTCACCTTCGGCTGCTAAGTCCTCGGCATACTGTTGAATTTGCATGCAATTTCAATGACTGACTTGCTAATGTCATACTTATAACCAAAAAATTGTCTCTGCAAACTCTCGACTGTGAGATCAGACTTTTTACCGTACAGTGTATGTAATTTGTCAAGCATTTGATGTGCCGAATTACAATTAGCGATCTTTTTGGCTACATTACTGCTTACATTTAAACCTATAAACGTTTGAGCTTCAAGATCCTGCCTAACCCATGCTTTAACTGCCTCGTCGGTATTCGGTCCTTGAGGCTTTACTTCTACACCAGTTGCTACTAAGAATAGACCTTTTGATTTTAATGTTAAGTTTAGTTTAAACCTCCAGGAGACATAGTTTACATTTCCCTGCGAATCTTCTGACAAAATCTCCATTTGTGACTTGACTGAATCCATGACTTTAGCGGAATTACCTAATCCTAACCTTAATAATATATTCAAGCAATGTAAACTTATATTACTAACTTATATGCTAATTATATTGACTTTATCTATTTAAGTTTTACAGAACGCAATTTGTACTTGACTGACTTTTTTTAGACTGACTATTTTTATAAGACTACACAAAATGCAGTTTTGACTTTTCGACTGTGTATTTGCTGACGTTTGACTGACGTTGTATCTTCGTTGACAAACTGACGTGGAATCTTGACGATAATCCTCTCATTGAATCCATAGAAACTGACAAAGCGATCCTGGGCCCATAACCTGTTGCTTTTCGTATGGAATTTCAAAGGACTAAACAGATTTGTGACGTCAAGAATATGTATTTAAGTATTAAATATGCAGAATAAAAAAGGCGCCTGTAACATAATGTACAATAATGTTGATATATAAACGCTTAAAAAAAAAAAGAATAATATACATTCCGTATTGCACTCCTTACATCCTACATCATACCTTTTTTATTCGAAACCATATAAATGAATCCTGAACAATAACTAAATCCTGCTTTACTTTCAATTTACAGCAGCTTACAATACTTATTACAGTCGCTTACAACTCTATAATTAGCGCTCTTCTTGCACGCGGCTCGCACGGCATGCAGTAGTGTAGAGAGCATGAAATAAATGTAACTATGAGAGTGGACTAGATAGTATTTGAACTGTGATTGGTCAAAAATCTGATCACAAGTAAAACAATTACAACTCAACAATAATCCAACACTCCCTTCTGAGTTTAACTCTATAGTATTCTTTATAACTCAGACATGGTCTCATAACGTCGTTTACTACTATTAAACTCTTAATCTAGGTACACTAATTTTTGGCAATAACATATAAAATTATATAATATGATATCTATTTGATTTATTCAAACAAACTTAAGCTACACTTTATCTTAGAACTCTAGCGTTATCCTCAACATTCCAGTTATTTCAATGTCATAAACTACTGTTCATACTATCTTCTTCTCGTTAATATCCCGTTGTTACTTTTGATTCATTGGCTTTCTAAAATCTAAAATTACCAAAACCAGTCGTTATTATGTAACGATGCACCCCTTTTGACAACGCATCGTTCCCCGGCAAACACCCGCCGGATGCCACCCGACCGATCCTCCGTCGGGCGAGAATAGGGCGCGGTGCGCCCACCTATTTTAAATTATTCCAAAGTACAGTGTGCGCGAGCAAAAGCGCGGCACCGGTACCTCCCCCCGCGCGGGCCCGCCAAGCCCCGACGGGAGCCGATCCGCACCGAAGACGAGCGTACGTACCCGTACCATTACGCGGCCCGCCTAGCCTGCGTTCAGAAACTTTTACCAGAGAGAAACCTGAGAGCGGCCACCGGGATCATTCCGTTTCAGGTTTCAGCGGACGTAGAGAGGACGTATACTGACGCGCCGCCTGAGAAAGTGGACGTCAACTACGTCGTTAGTCGTTACGCTCGGTAACGGTACACACATGGTTCGTGTCCGTGCTATGGTTTGTGTCCGAACTACTCAGATGGAGGGGATATGCCAGTCGGCTGACTCGACACTGGCAAGCTTCGAGCGGGGAGAGAAGGGCAGACATACGATCTGCTGTCTCTTTCTCGCTTGAGCTGGCTTGAGCTGTGACGTAGCTGCTTAGCACACGCTGGCTATGCCACGATGCCATGCATTTCGGGTATCGCTCCTCGCGTCTCGCCGAGTCTCGAGTTGGCAAATCGACGATGCGCTATACGTTACATTTACATTTATATTTACAAATTTTAATTTTTATATTTATAAATAAATAAATAAATAAATATTATATATATATATATATTTTTTTTTTGAAATTTATAAATATAAAGATTGCAAATATAATTAATTAAAAAAATATTTATAAACATAAAAACTAAAATTCGTAAATGTAATGTATAGAAATCCCCGTTCTGGCCAATATGCTCTTATATAAAAAAAAGTCTTACTTTAAAAACCTTTACTTTAGCATAATAGTATTTAAATTTAATATTTAAATGCATAACAATAATTACATATTAACTATATCGAAAAAAAGTAGTTTATAATGTTCTTTTTACTCTTATTAAATTTATATTAGCTATTAATGTTTATAAGCGGCCACGAGCAACAACAGAGAGATATTGGATTAAAATAAAAACAATTTCTTAAATAAACAATACACATGGTTAACGTTTCGACTGTACTTAGTCTTCTTCGGAACGGATTACTACGATAGAAGAAGATAAATATAAAAAGACATAATAATTAATGTTCAAGTTTACATACTAAAACATTAAATATTAGTTTAGACTAAAACATTAAACAATCACCTAATATAATATAAACAAAGTAAACAATAATCTAATTAAATCACAAATATAAAAACGCCGGAATAATCGAATAAAACCATAACAAGAGATAAATTTATATTTATATTGAGAAGTGGTAAAATCTCTTCCGTCAGGAAAAGAATGTAAAGAATTATTTATTAACGGAGGTATTCTGATTTAAAAGATCTTTAAAATATATATTTTTCAGGAACTTTTTATAGGGAAACAAAGAAAGTGAATAACGTTAAACTTTGCATGTTTTCTTCACCTTATTTTAAAAATTTATTTTTATTTTTTAAGTAACAAAAATGCTCTTCTTTTTTGTTATATCCTGGTTACCATAAATGACAGACGGTGTAAATAATTCTAGCTGTTCTAGGTATCTGAAATGCAAAAAGCTAAAATTTTCTTATTCAGAAGAAGTATATGTGGCTATCGTCTGAACTAGAACTAAACCAATATTTCCATTCTAGGTTCTCTCTAGGCGGCCTTTTTATCAAAAATATTATTAATCAATATTAAATAAACCATTTACGATCTGAGCTTAAATTTTATAGTAGCCTAATATTTTTTATATACTATATATTTACATATTTTTCCAACTTTAATCAACTACGCGCCGACTAACTTCACAGAAAAAAAAGAAGTGTTAAACCAAAACTTATATACTTAAATCAACGCGATCATTGTTTCGTATATACGCAAGAATATGTAATCTTCTTCTAAGAATTTGATAATATTAAATTTCAACAATATTACAATCTTATTTCAATAATATAA